AAAAAAAATTTAAATTTTAAAAATATAAGATATATTTTAAAAATATTAGATATATTTTTAACACAGGCGCTGTGGCCCATAGCGCCTGAGTGGAGCTATGGGCCATAGCGCCCCAAATAATTTTTTTTTTTCGTTTTTAGCCGATTTGAGGCGCTATAGGCTATAGCGACTCTTTGAAGGTCTCCACCAGCTACAGCGACTCTACCAATATGGCGTTCATGGCTCATATTTAGACCCAAAAATGCCACGTGTCATGGGTGTCGCTATGGCCCATAGCGACACCCAATAAAAGCGCCCCAAAGGTGTAAAATGTTTCAAAACAACCCCATTTTGGTAATAAGTTTCTTAAACTGCCCCACAATGGTCATTTAGCCTTTATGGCACAATTGTTATGGGTCATTGTACAAATTACTCATTTCAATATCAACAAGAGATATATGTTGAGCTTTATCAAATTGAAGTTTGGTGAAAAATTATGCAATAATTGTGTAGTTAAAACACAAGGAAATAAACACAGTACAATAGATGACTTGTAATTTTCCTATTGGAAGGAAAAAGGTGTATTAAAGAAATGGTTTAAAAATTGAAAAAATGTGACACTAGTGTTTTTTTTATTAGTTAAATTTGAATTTTAGCTTCTTGGAATCCTTAATTTGGAAACTTTGTTGATAGTGACTATATTTATCTTTTGTAACTCGTGTCTCTGAAATTTCCCAGTTGCCCCTGTTGAGATGGAAGAGATTTGCAGTGGTTGCAGCCATGTGCATCCTAGCTGTTCGAGCAATAATAGTTCAACTTGCATTTTTTCTCCACATGCAGGTGGTCTTGTCCTATTTAAATGTACTCTCTAAAGTTGTAATGTGTATATATCACTGCATCAGAGACCAATTTAATTTATTAATGGATTTTAGGCTTTTAGCATCAGTAGTAGTTTGCATTACATATTGTCTAACAAATATATCTTAGTTTCTTATCCAGCAAAACAACCTTCCTATCGAGTAGATGTTTTTTGGTTGCTAATGTTTATTATAAAAATGTGCAGACATTCGTGTACAAGAGGCCAGCTATGTTTCCAAGATCTTTGATTTTTGCTACAGCATTCATGGGCTTTTTCTCTGTAGTTATTGCATTGTTCAAGGTAAAAAAGTCTAACAGCTTATTATTCATAAAATATGCATTAATTTATTTTCCAATATAAGTGAGTTTTGGAAAAACTTTCAATAATACTTGAGAAGAAAACGAGAAGGTATTTTTGTTTTTATTAAAGATAAGAAAGATTATAAAGATTGTTGTAATGAAGATTAAATTTAGGTTTCCATGTTTTTAATTATCCAAATCTTTTTTCACCCAGCCACTAGGTTAACCATAGTGGTTAAACAATAATGTATAATGAGTTAAACGTTTTTCATATGTTAAAATCAATTAATTCACCTCTTTTTTTAAGGCTCCCTCCTTTAACTTCAAAAAGTAATATGTATAACTTGATTTTAAATTAGAAGCTTAACCTTACATTTTTTAATACATATATATTTTTACATCTTGTTAGGTGGCAGTTGATCGTTTGATGTTGTTAATTGATTTTTATGTATCATATTAATTGTTAACGCGACACATTGATTGATGGTGTTAATTGATGTCACGTAAGTAACATTAAATGTCACATAAGTAATTAACATGTTATTTTAGGGATTAACTTATGGATTGATAAAATATGAAAAAAATTTGAAAGTTGAGTTACAAAATGTATAAATTTGAAAATTACATGATAAAATTTGCAAAATTCAGAAACATGAATAGCAAAATGTGCAATTAATCAAAAAAGCTAATTTAGTTTATCCTAATTTCTTTTCTTCTATATGTACACCATATGTTAAAGTAAAAATTAAATTTTATTGTTTTAACACAGGATATACCCGATATTGAAGGGGATAAAATATTTGGCATTCGATCTTTTTCGGTGCGGTTAGGTCAAAAGCGGGTATGCTTTTCTCATCTTGTGCCATCATAGAGGACTTGGCATGTGCATGCATGTATACATGGTTTTCTCTAATTAAGTCTTTTTCAGGTATTCTGGATTTGTGTCTCACTTCTTCAAATGGCTTATGGAGTCGCTCTTCTGATGGGAGCATCATCTTGTAACCTTTGGAGCAAAATAATCACAGTAATATGCTAATTACTTATATAAATTATCCCTTAATTATGACTTCACATTATTCTTTGACCTATTGATAAGTTACAAGATATAGGACATGATGTTGAACAATAAACAAACCTCTTAATTAAAGGGTCTCACTCAAGAAGCCTAGAATTTTGGAGAGTATAATATAACCATAAGAAAAAGAATAGCTCAGTCGAATTTGATTTTGATAAAGTTTGTAGAATAGTGAGTTTCAAGAAATTCAAAATTTATATACTTTTTCATCTCATGTTGCATTTTGTAATTACAATGGTTGGTCAATTATCAAAATTTAACAATTGTTTGCTTTTCAATAATTTTCTTCTATAAAGCCTTAAAATGTACATTGTTCCTAAGTTAATGCACATACAGTGTTCAAGTACTATCTAGTATACTAAAATAAGGAAATTTCTCCGTTGGAAAAGTAATTTGTTGCATAAAATATCTTGTCTTTTTATACGTATAATCTTGTTACATTAGAGTCAAATTAAGGTAAATGGGCTCGCAAATCAAGGTAAATTGGCTCTTTCAAGGAAGCATTAATTATTTGAGGAGAAAACTTTAGTGACTCGATAAATGTTTAAATTATCTTATCCTTTATATAGACGCATATTTAGTGAATGTGTACATGTTTGATCATTTCAAAGGAATCTGATGTTTGTTCTCACTTTCAATGTATTAGGGTTTGGGACATTGTCTTTTGGCTTCAATCCTATGGTATCATGCCAATTCTGTAGATCTAAAAAGTAAAGCAGCCATAACATCCTTCTACATGTTTATTTGGAAGGTAACAATATATAACTTTATAACTTGTTTATCATTTGAGGAATTGGAATTTCAAAATAAAAGACTGTCTTTGTGTTTAGAATCAATAGTTGTTTATTATCGGTCTATTATCTAATGACTTCCAATCGAAACTTTACCATCTCCTATAAAAAAAATTTGGCGCCAATAAGTACAAAGAAATTTATTTGGACAGAAAACGAACTCACATTTCCTTGCACAACCTCCAGTTCTTAGTGCTCAAGGGTGCCTTGTTCTTCAAAGGGTCCAAATCTTGTCTCATTGTTTAAATGGCCACAAAAGGAAAGGGTGGTGGTAGTGCTCTCTTTGGAAATTGTTTGAGTGAATTAATTTCTTTCACAAATTTGAAGCTAGCGATTAGAAAATAAATAAATAAATTTAATCAGCAGTTTCTCTTTATAAAAATTATTTGATGATTAAAAAAAAAAAAGAGCCAGTGATCAGCTTAGCCATTTATCGACAACTTTGTGAAAAATTCAACACTATCTAAAGCACTTAGCCTAATAGGACAAAAACCATATGATAGTCATTTACTAATCTCAGAAGTATATCTTAAAAGAAATATTTTAAGAAGCTAAGTTAAATTTTTTTTACTTGTCTGAACCTCTGTATATATCTTGAAATTTGAAAGCTATTTTGTTTAACTTTTCCGCAAGCATCTTAGCTCAGAATTCTTTTTAGGGAAGTTTTAATAGCGATATTTTATAATTGAAAAACTCATAAACTAATAGTTAATCCAAACTATATGCCTTTTCACCTCATCCTATATTTATCTCCAAATATGTGTTTGAAATGCTTTTGGTTTGATTTATTTTAAGATATATTTTTCAGTTTTTTAAAAGAGCAAAAACTAATCACTAACCAAAATCATCTGCACATCTTTTAAACATAAAGTGGAGCACATTCTCTTTTCTCGTTACTAATGCATTAATTTGAATTGTTTGTTTTTCCAGCTATTTTATGCAGAGTACTTCATCATACCTCTAGTTAGATGAGAATGTAGTGACATTTTTTACTTGAGAAATGGTACTCCCTTTGTTACATGTGGACTGTTAATTAGTTTAAAGATGATAATCGTAAATAAAGAGTTATGCAGCATGGAACCCAATTCTGTTTGTAATTAATTCTTGATGTTAAGTTTTAGTTAGATGATCATGTAATATGAAACTATTGTTTTTTATTTTAGGTATGATAAAGTGTAGTCAGACCCAATAAGTACTTGTAAAAATATTTGCGGGTGGGGGTGAATACTTGCTTGTAAATATGGGTTTGGATATAAAGTGAATATATACTTACAAAATTGTGTGGGTAAAAGTTTGGATATTATAGGACTCACTCTATCCCCGAATTTGTTATATATTAATATAATTAAATAAATAATATATACTATCTCTATTTTTATTTATAAGATCCAACTTTAGAATAATTATTTATTTATTTTTATTTAAAATTAAATTTATGTTGTCTCATATATTAATTATTTTTAAAATATAAAATATTTATAATTATTCTCTTAATTTAGTAAAATATATTAATTATAATATATTTAAAGAGCTTGCATTCTAATTGGTTAGAGGATATAAAAGTATTAATTTAAAAAAAAAAGTAATATTATATGGTTGTTTTAGAAAAAAATATAAATAAAATAAATTTATTGTTATTAACTAAATTAACTATTATTTTTAATCTTGGTAAGTTAGGTAATTGAATCTTTTATATAAGAATAGAGATAATATATTTATATATATATATATATATATATATATATATATATATATGTGTGTGTGTGTGTGTGTGTTTTAAAAAAATATATATGAGTGAAAATTCAGTTACATCAAAAGTAACTCTTAAAAGAGTTATTTAATGAATGTAACTACGTTATATATTGAATTTCTTATTCAATAAATTAAGTCTAAAAATTTGTATACTTTATTTTTTAATCAATAATTTTATTTAATAGATAATGTTAGATAATATTTAATAATTTTTAAAATTAATATTAGATAATATTTAATAATTGTAATATATATATATATAGAGGATCAAATGACATTGGTATAACTTTTACAAATGGTTACACTACTTCGTAACCTTCAATTAAATGACTATTTTTAAAAACTTTTATTAAATTAAATTCTTTACTCCCTATATCATATATAATTTTTTTATATTAATTTAAGTTGATTTGATACGTCATTTATATAGATCAAAATAAACATAATATATAAATTTTAAAATGTATTAAATATAAACAATTTAATTATCCTCAAATTGTTATTTAATTTTAACAAAACTTGATATAAACATAATAAGTAATATAAAGTTATAATTTAACGATTAGATTAACAAAATTTACATAAAATATAAAATTATTAAAAGGTATAATAATAAGTAAAAGTTATACAGGTGTCATTTGATCTCTCTTCCCCCCCCTCACACAAAATTACTTTTACGAAAAAAATTATATCTTTACTTAAATAAATACATTTATTACTTGGGTTTGAACAAATCAATGTTATATTTGCATTTTTTTAATATTATGTATGTTTGCTTTTAATTACTTAAATAAATACATTTATGACTTGAGTTTGATAAAAAAAATGTTATATTTTTTTTTAATATTATGCATGTTTTCTTTTAAGATTATGTTTGAGTTATTTAAGAATAATTTTTTTAACATAAATGTAGTAATTATTTTAGTTATTTTTTTTAGATTTATTATTATGAAAAAGGTATTCATTTGCCCTAAAATTGACTTATTTTACAAATTGACATCATAAATTTTTATTTCATTCTAATTGATATTTATTTATTTTTTCATTTTATCAAACAATTTTTTATTATCAAGTTAAATTATTTATGTTAAATATCAATCATTCATTTTGTTACAACTATTTTTTGAAATATTATAAAAAATTGAGTTTAAATAGAAAGAAAAAGGAAAGAATGATAAAAACAATAAAAAAAACCTGTTTGTCTTTTATTCTAAATTTTATGATGTAGAAAATTAATATATAAAAATAAAACTAATATATGTAATTTTTTTTAAAATAATTAATGTGATTTTAAATAAATAAATATTTTTTAGTATTTTAATCCCAATACAATATAAAAGATTATTTAAAAAAAGAAATAAATTTTGAGAATTCAATTAAGATGAAATTGAAATCCTAATATTTATTTGCAAAATTGAAGTCGTTAAGTATAAGGGTTAATTATAACAAAATCATAGTTCATGGTGTTTTTTCTACGAGGATAAAGTTTAAGGATTAATTGAGATAAAATTAAGGATAAAACAACATTTGAATTCCTGAAAGTGTATGTCACTAGCACTTTGATCTTTAAAAATATAAGAATTCAAACAAAAAAAAGTTCTTAAAAGTTTAAAGCATAACTCACTTTAGTCAAAAATTGAAAAAAAAATGTAACTAAAATGACAATATCAACGTATATTTAGGGACTAAAATAGCAAGAAGTAGTTACTTTTATGGATTTAAATGAAATAATTAGTACTTTCAAGGATTTCTTTAGAATTTTCTTACTTTCAAGGGCTATAGCGGTAATGACATGCATTTTCAAGGACATGAATGGTGTTTTACAATAAAATTAAAGTTTGTAGTGTTTATTTATAAAAAGGTAAAGTTTAGGGGAGCTAAATATTTTTTTTTCCAATTATTGTTAACGTCATATACGGGTCATGAGGGTGAGTATGAGTATCTAGGTATTCAATGAGTACAGGTGATGTGGATCAAAATTGCTACTTCTGTAGGTTTAAAACTGGGTACAAGTAGTATTTTTAAATACGGGTATGAAGACATGTACTATAAAACCTTATTTAGACCTACCCATTATCATCCTTAGTCCATTTCTCTTATTAATATTTATGGATTTTAAAAGTGTTTCATAGATTTAATATATGTAAAAAGATCAGTATAAGTATAAAACTTACATTATAAAACCATGAAAAAATTAGGAAAATGTTGAATGCACACCTAATAATAGGGTGCATCATGTATCAGTACTATAAGAAGGACATTTTACATTAGTTCATTTGGACAATCTACATCATTTCTACAATTGATATAGATTCGGGTGACTTTAGAATTAATGTGTGAGACATTCTACATTAGTTTCAAAATCGATGTAAAAAATGCATAAAATTACACCAATTCTTGTACAAATCGATCTGATATGTTGACCAATTTCTATATATGATTAAACAATAATTGATGTAGTATGTATTTTTTTAGTTTTTTTTCTTTTGATATTTATTTATACCTAACCTGTAATAAAAAAAATATTATGTCAAAGTCACACTTCCATCAACACTATAAATTAATAAACACATATATCAACATATTACATGATAGTTTCTAACAATACTAAATCCACAATTAAATCAAAATAATAAATGTTTCATATGGGTCTTGACAAACCATTAACAATATTAATCCTTCAGCATCAGCTTGCATCAAACAATAAGCCTTTCACTACAATCCCTCATAAATTTGTCTAACAAGTTGTCCTGCAATCACCATATATAAAAAAACTCGTGAAACTTCCTAAATGTAAGATTTTCCTTGAATATGTCTCCATGCAGCTTGAATTTGTATAGCGGACAAATGCATCAAGACAAAACATCAGTGGGCCAAATTGGTACACACTTTCCTCTGAATAATGCTTGTTGACTTTCCTAATGTAATATTCTAAATTTATAATACAACATTCTCAATTTTATTTTATATATATTCTTAAAATAATATTTCTTTTAAATTTTAGTTATTTTATTTAAAATAAATAAAATTGGTTATTTTATTATTTTTTTAGAAATATGATTCAAATTTTTAAAATAATATTTTAATCATTATATATATATAAATAAATATATATAAATTTTAATGTAATTAATCATATTTAAATACATATAAATATATTATGAATTAAAAAAATTAAAAAAAATTAAAAAAATTAAAAAAATTAAAAAATAAACGAAAAAAAATCTACAGCAGAAAATCTCTGCTGCATTATCCTCTCTTATCTTACATTTATTAACCCCTATCTAAGGAACTAAGCATATAATGAGGAATTCAATCCAAACCAAATGAGAAAATTGCCTAACATGCTAACCAAGGTATATAATCATTACTCTTCACACTATAAATAGGCTTCACATGCAGGAAAAAATTTTGAGAACACAAGTTTACGGAAGGAGAAAAAGAGAGAAGGAAGATAATAGAGAGAAAAAGAGAGAGAAGTTAGAAGAAAGAAGATAGTAAAATTTTTACGCAACTAACTCTTTGATAAGTCTACAATCTAATGTAAGGGGGGAGGGAAACTTTATCTTTTTAAAATTTTATATGTTACTATGTTTAATTAATTGTTATATTTTGTGCGTATTTATTTAGTGAGGTGTCCCTAACCTTATTTATTGCTTAATCTATGATAATTTTTACTCATAATAATTAATAAGGTGTTCATAGTTTATGTTGTTTAATTATTTTATAATGATTATTATTGTCATTTACATGATTGGTACGTACTCTTAATATATTATATTTACGTAAATATTATTTTAATGATAAATATTCAAATTTATTTAGCGCAATTATTTTTATGATTAACTATAATATAGTTTAGTTAAAATATCTTTGACTCGTCTTGTTATTTCTTCATGTATGTATAAAGATAAATATTAATTATTTATGACCATAAAAATGAAAGTTTGAATTAATTTGTAGTTGGAGGTTTAACCTTGGGAATTTAAATGAGTAAGGAGTTGAGGTGAAAAATCCTTTTGTTGGTTGATATTATAATTATGCTCATTTATCCTGACTAGTCACTGCAAGTGTAATTCAAATTTTTATGTATATATTTTCTAGTATTTTTAGTGGCCCGGAACAAGTCGTTCCAAAATCAGAATGGGTTGTTCCCAAGTTCGGAACGGGCCGTTCTTGAATTGGAACAGGCCGTTCCGAGACTCCTAAAAGGGCTAAAAATTGTAGGTTGGAACTGTAACACCCAAATCTTTATTATTATTATTTTTGTTAA